GCGCGCCTTTCTGACTCCATTACTTTGTTTTATTTATTATGTTTTGTTTTCATTATATAAACAAGTTAACAAGTTAGCGCATACGGTTGAGGGGCGTGCCTTTAATGTACACGTCCTGGATTCGATCCCAGGCGTGTGCATTTTATTATTTTCTTCATACTTCTCTGCAGATCCAATGCAGTGCTCTCTCACACGCCTACCATGTGTCATCAGCATCCAACCACTTGATCAGCATAGCATTGAATCCAACGCATCCCAGCCTGAAGGACTATGATGCACCTCAAAGTCAATGCTGCACAGGATCCAGCGTGGTTGACTGGGCTCAGCATTATTGGGCTTCAAAATTCAGATTCTCACCCCACTTTTTAGCAAGACAACAAGCCCATTTCTAATTCTTTTTTTATTTATTTCTTTCATTTTACTTAATTTGTTTAATTATTTTTCACCAAAAAAATTAATTGTTTTTTTAATTAATCATAAAATCAATAAATCACAAAAATACACAAAATCTTTTTTTACAAAATATTTTATTTTTCTTTAAATTAATTAATTTAATTAGAAAATTAGGTTAATTTAATTTCTTTCATAATTTAAAAACAATTAGAAATTAGGTTTAATTGATTTGTAATTTAAATGTTTTCTCAAATAAAAATCCACAAAAACACTTTTTCTCTCAATTAGGGTTTTAGGATATTTCAATCGTCCTCGCATTTTAATTTGCCGCGCGCTTGTTAATTATTTGTCCATAATTATGTAACTGCTTATTGGTTTGTAATATTTAAAACTAGGATTTTTATTTATCGCTTTTTCCCCACTTTTGGTTATGTAATTAATCCCTCCCCGAAGCCTTGTAATAGCTAGGTTTTATTTTTCGCACTTTAAATTCCCGCAATCTTTAACTGTCTAGATGAATGGCTAATAGGATTGTATGAAAATAATGCTTGAAATTTAAAACGGTAGATCACCTAATGTGCAAAGACTAAATAACTGAAAAAGTTCACATGCACATGTTCACTCCTAGGGTTTGCCTCACTCCGGTTGCCTTCAGTAAACAGTCATTAAGCATAGGAAATTTTAGTGGTCGCCTGTCTAAAAGATCAAATGTCCCATTCGAATGTTGCCTCAGAAATGTTGCCTCGAAAATGTTGCCTCAGAAAGATATTAAGAATCTAGGGTTACTACTAGGGTTTTCTAACTATTGCGTTAGTGATTGTATTTGTCCCTTTCGAATGTCCCTTATAACTCCAACGACGGTGCTACCTACTCCTTAATAGTAGGATAGCATTGTCTAAAGAAAATGGAACGAACAATCTTTTTTCGAGTAGGTAGAATCTTAAGTACTTGCTCAATGAAAACTTTTCACATAAACCCCTTTCAAAACAAACTTTGTCACATCCTTGAGGACTGATACAAGGGTTATCACGAAGTAAAACATTTTCAAGACAAACACACACAAGCAATTTGTAAAAATGAGCAAGTACCTAAGAGCCCGTAGATAACTACGGATAGAAAGGGCGCTAACACCTTCCCTTTCTATAATCTACCCCCCGTACTCAGAATATCTCGAAAAAAGGTTTTTTTTTCTATTCTTTTTCCTTTGCCATGATTGGATGAAATAAAAGTCGGTGGCGACTCTTGCTTACCGCGATATTATGCGAACAAAAAACGCAAACCAGTAAAAAGATTCGGTTCTGCCACCGTATCACAGAACTGGCGACTCTGCTGGGAGTAATTTATATAAAGTGGGGTTTACCTTAGGATCTAGGTCATTAAATTGCTTCTCTTGATTGTCTTGATTGCTTTACTTTTGAGGGTTTGTTTAGGGTTACTATAGATCCTACACCCAGATCTGGGGGCACTCTTTAGGTAAACAACAATAGATCGTGGAGACTGTACAACATAGACCGATATGGTTTAAGCGATGGTTGTGTTAGTGTGGCACTTTGGTTGGTACTTGTATCCTTCGTGGGGAAACGAGGAGAATATGGAGCCACCGCATGGTGTCGTGAAGCACCAACGGATCTTAGAACCTTAGTTGAACAAACTTGGCCATTAGAAAGTAGTGAGATAGTCGGGCTCGGTGTAGAGCCGAGGATTGGTTGATACTCGATGCTACACTCATTGAGACCATACTTTTGGGATATTTTAGCCGCAATAAAAGATTGATTGAGCTGAAACAATGCCCGATAAAGGATGGTCAGTGATATTGAGATCCTCTAGAACCCGGTTACTTTTTAAGACAGGTTTGAAACCAACTAAACTTCAAGAGGGTACTACCTTTAACCTCATGCAAGCCTTAAACCTAAGGACTTGGTGTGATTTGACTGTGTTTGCTATACCTGTGCTTGCTATACATGTGTTTGCCATACATGTGTTTTATCATGACATCATGTATCATAACATAACATCCATTCTTATTGCACTAACCATTTCAAAGACCAAGGGAATTTATCTTTGTTCTGTTTTGCAGATCATGGCTTCTGTCCGTAGAAACACCATCTGAATCAGCTTTGTGAATATACCTTCTCAACTCAAAGAGCTAGCATCAAGGGTTTCTGAAACTTCTGCATTCACTAAGAGACATGGTCAACTTCTCAACCTAGTTACTTAAAACTTTGATGAAAAGATGATGAGTGTACTTCTCAACCTGGCTTCTACAACGGATTGGTTGTGTTGTTTTGAGTTCTTCCTGCGCTGGGTTGATGGTTCTGTTTCAGCGAGTTCTTTCTCTCACAGTTTGGATCTGGTTTTTTCTCTTCAAAAATTCTGGATTTTACTTGTGAATTTAGGTTAGCCGCTATTAAACGTCTGTGTTTGAAATCGATTCTTCATCTTTGTTGATTTGGTGTTGTTTTGGCAATGAAGTTCTTCTACATCCTCTGATTCAGTGTTTCGGTTTGATTGGCCAGAAATGATCGTGTTTGCTTGTTGTTTTCAACAATAAGTTATTAGTTAAGGAATTTGTTACCGTGTTAACAGTCGAATTCATTCACCATTCATTAATCTGAGTTTGGTTAACAAATCACATTTTTTACATTTCAATTTTGTATCTGTGCGCATGTTCACTGGATTGTGCCCGTGATGTGTCTTTGAATTCAAATTTGCTTTATCTTATATTACTTATTGATTTATCTTTAGGTTTTTCAGTTCATTGGATTTAAGCTTTATATCCCCTGATTTTATGTATTTCTTTTCTTTTTTCTATATATAATGTTTATTATAAAAAAAGTGTGATATTTGCACGTGGTGTAATCTCTCTTTGCTCAATAGCAACATTTTATGTGAGGTGTGTATGATTTATTGTTTTTTTCTTTGGAAGAAGTGTTTTTTAGGACTTTATAATGTTTCTAAAAATATTTTATATATAGAAAATGTTTACTTATTTATGAACACCGTAAATTCAAATAAGTTAAACTATTCTGATATTTAGGGGTGTGTAAATTAACCGGTTCAATTGAACCATTTTAAAAAAATTGATGCACCAATTTTAAAAGTCCAAATTATTTAACATCAAAATTGATTCAGGTTCGTTTTAGTAAAACCCAAAAAATTGGATATCCACTTTAAAAATCCAATTTCATATACGGTATTCATTTTAAAAACAAAATTGTAAATTTATTCGATAGCAGTCACTTCCTCCATCTTTTGAGAATTTTCCTTCTTCTCTTATTCTACTTTTTCGATTAATTTTTTTTTTTTAAGATCTACATCATTCACTATATATGTGTTTCCACTAATTCCTCCAACCTCTTCTCCAATCGTTTTGATTTCAGTGAGGTTTTCATAGCTCCGGTGTTGAAAAATACACATTTTTTTCATAGCTCCGATGCCGAAAAATACCCCAAACAAGAAAATGAAAAAGAAAAGTTTTTTAGTAAAACTTTGCTTCCAAGAGATCTCGAGGCAACGAACGTTCTTAGGAGTTTCAAATACTAAATTTAAAATTGGTATGAAAATAAAATTTAATTTTGTACCGATTAAATGAAAAAATGGTTTTAAACCAAACCAAATATAAATTGGTTTTGTGAAAATAAACTGGTTTTATAAAACAGTTATGAAAACCAAACCTAAACCATGTATTTGAACTATAAGCTGCTAGTCGATCGACACATTGATTTTCTTATGTGAAGAGCGTGGATCACCATGAAATTAATATTTCTAAAAACTTATGAGTTAGAGGGGTGGTGTTGGTCCGGAGTTCAATTTCTAACAAAAATATTTATTTATATTTTGTTTTAAAATGTAAATAGATTGTTGATATTTATAAATTAACAATTTTTTAAAATTAAAAATATAATTTTAAAGAATAATTTTGTAATTCATCTACTCTTTGTTAGGTTTCAAGCAAAGGTCAAATTAGAGGTGAAAGTTAAAAAGACAATAGTTGAATCATTTATTTTTAAACAAAGAATTAGCTCATTGTTTTGTTTGAATTTATTGCACTTTTACATTCTTTGCTTTTTAATAAATCTTATTTGAAATTTCCACACACATATTTAAAAAATTGAAGAAGGAAATCATTTTATTAAATTATTTGATTATTGGTGTAAAAAAGTTAATAATACTGTTTTTCAATTGAAAATTGAAATAGTTTTTTTCCGATGTTAATTATGAAATGGGTATAACTTTGATTTAATAAATATATTTACATTACCCCACAACCTAAATAAATTTTGATATTTTTAACTTATTTTAGTTTCACTATTTATCAAGATAAGAGACACAATCAAACATTTGCAAAGAGAAAGAGTCATCTTTTTGACAATGTACATTGTAGTAGTTGCTAGCATTATGTTTCTCAAGGTCAACTTCTTATACCCAAAGAAAAGTCAAGACGACGACAAAGCGATTACGCAACGCGCTTTTCCTTGTTTTTACTTATTCCTTTAATTGATCATATAAAAACAACTCAACCTCATCATTCTATCATCTCATAATACATACATAAACTCTAAATTTCCTATACAATTCTTGAATTTGTTGCCTTGGAATTGGAAGAAATGTGTCCACTTAGATTCATATTGATCTTCTTCTCTGCCGTGCTGGCCGCTTATTTGGCGTGGACCACCATGAGCTCCACCACTCTGGAGATTGATTTCGCTGCTCGCAACCATAACAATAAATCCACCTCAGATAAAGATAATTCTAGTATCATAAAGGTAATCTCAGTTCCACATTTTCTTTATATAACATAATATTTTCCACTTTCTTCTTTTCTTGTTTACTTCTTTTCTTGTGCTGACTAGAAATGTTATTTTGGTTTCAGATGATTAAGAATGGATTATGGGTATTCGTTGACATGGCCAGTGGAAGGTATCTTTGGAAATATTTGAAGCCAGCAAATCATCATGTCCAACTACAGAGCTCTTAATATTTCACAAATTACAGAAACTTGTAATTCTTTTGTTTATTTTCATCACCAATGGTTGTGACATAAATTTTGTAAATATCAGAATTTAATTTAATTCTTTTTCCTTTCATTTCCCGGTATCAGTTGGTGTGTTCATAAGAACGAAACATCCCGTAGAATTCTAATAATTTTGCAAAACAATTTTAGTTTTTTATGTATCATTTTCAAGATCCAGTCTCTTCAATGCAACAAAGGCACACAACATATCAAGAAGATGCATAGTCTGAGAAATGGCTAAAACACATAATCACATTCACTAATAATGTACAATCACATTCACTAAAAAAGAACATTGATATCATACAGATTCAAAAGAGAGAAATGCTAGCATAAGTGTGATATTTATATTTGATCAGATTGCAGCTTAATGGACATGTAGATAAGAGTTAACAGAGCACCTTGAGGAACCGGTGCAATACTTGCAAGGGAAGAGCCAACCCACATGGCAACCATGAATAATGCAACCACACTACTGCTGGTTTTCCCACAAATCCAACTTAAAAATGACAAGAACAATGTTAACATTATGCCACCACTTCCACCCAAAATCCATGCTATTACGTAACCAACTTTATAGCCAGCATCTAACTTGTTATCAAACACTGCTGTCAGACAGCTAAATGTAAGGGAGATTCGAGCTCCTAATGTCTGGAATAATAATAATGACAAGAATGCTGATCTAAGAACTTCAATAAATGAACCCCTTTTTCCGTTTAAATTTCTTTCATCTTCCTTGTCTTCGTCGCTGCTGTAGTAATCCTCGTTGACATTGTAATGCTCCCAGTATCTTTTACTATGCATTTTCCTCCTTGTGTAAGCCCGCCTATAGCTTCTTACCTCATCTTCAAAGTCAGTGCTGTAACCCCATTTATTTTGGTAAGGCTTGTGACTGGATTGAAGTTCTCGATCATACTGAATTCTAGTTGTTTCATTGGATAGTACCTGTTTAAGAGTATAAAAATACATATCATGAATGCATTTGCAAAAGTACTCGGGTCTCTATTAGTATATTACTTTCAAAAGCACTTATTAAATATCAATGTTAGGTAAAACATTTTTCTCTTTTAGCCTCTATATTAAAGAACATAATCGACAAACCAGCAAAACTGCAAAATAACGGTGAGGTCTACACAAAAAAGAATGTAAAACTTTTCTTACCCCAGAAAGATGAAATACAATCCGTATTGCAAGCAATTATTTCTATAAAACAACAAAAGATGAATAATGATTTCTTACTTCATAAGCATGACGAATACTCTTGAACAATTCAGAGGCACGTGAATCTTTGCTAACATCAGGGTGATACTGCGCTCACAGAAAAATAATAAAGAATTAAAAAATTAAAAGTAAAAATCCAAAATGTACATAAATTAACAGCATCAATGGAAAGGGTGACCGGTTCACTAATCTAACCATCTGAGAGTATTGTCCTAAGAAAATCTAGGCCACATCCAGTTATTTAGGTAAAAAGAGGGGGAAAAAAGCTCATCATAAGAAAATTATAACGCCTTCGTTCATAGCCACAAACCAAATTACAATTAGATAATCCAAAATGAAAAATCAGGAAGTGATTCGAATACCTTAAGGGCGAGGTGGCGATAAGCGCGTTTGATATCAACAACGTCGGCGGAGCGGGCGACGCCGAGTACGGTGTAATGGTCGCCATCGCCGTTGATTGCTGAAGCTGAAGAGGAGGACGCTGAGATGAGTAGATGTCTCCGGCGGCGAGGCGCGGTGGAGAGGTAAGTAGAATCAGCGGCGGTGGCATGGGAAGCGATGGAGATGGATCCCACCAGAAGATGCAATTGCATCGTCATTTTGAAGGATTCGAGTAGAGTACACTAAGTTATGCTATACCAGTGGTATCTAAGACTGATTTTGGTCCGGTCCGAGTATAAGAGGTCCTGAGAGTTGGACCGAGACTTTTTTCGAATAAACTGGAACCTGATTATAGATGATTAAATTTTAAGATCGAAATTGAATCGGTACTTTTAGATAAATTGAAACTGGATCAGAAAATTGATTATTAGAGATGGGGATCCGAGATCGGACCAATAATTTTTGGTTCGGGTACTTAGTCCATCCGAATTAAAGGAAAAAATTGAATTTTTTTTAATTCTAAATATAAAATTATATTTTAAATAATCCATTCAAAATATGTATTTGACATTACATTCTAAATATCATTCACATAAGTTATGAAACTTATGCTTTCAAAAGTAAAATTTGTTTACAAATATAAAACTTGTTCAAACGTAAGTCTAATGATGTCTCAAAACAATCTCATTATTGACATTTCAAAAAACAATAAAATAACATTACAAAGATGTTGTTGACGAAGAAGAGACACCAGGATCCTCGTCAAAATGAAATGTTAAAGGTTCATCTTGTGGTTCTTCAAGCTACACCAGTAAAAACATAAGTTAAACAAGGCAACATAAATGGAAAAGCTTAAAGCCATATAAATATTCAACTAAAATAAATCATAAGTAAAAGATACTTACAATACTAACAGTGCGGCTCTTTTTAATTTCATATTTCTCCTTCACCCAATCATCCCCACTAAGTATCATTTCAACTGTCTTAGTTTCATAGAAGATCGTTTCAGATCAATAATCCTTTTACTAACACTAAAAGTTGTTTCTGAAGCAATAGTTGTAACTGGAACAATTAGGATATCCTTGGTCAACTTACTAAGAACATAATACTTTGCTTCATTCTCCATCCACCATATTAAAACATCAAACTGAGTTTTAGGGAAAACTTTCAAGGGAGGCTCTTCAAGATATAATTCAAGATCAGATTTTGAATTAGTATTACCAACAACAATTTCTAAGAACATCTCAAAACTCCTCCTTCTCAACCCGGAACTAGATCCTACTTCTGGAGTTTCAAACTCAGGGGCATTCTCATCATTAGTTCCATAAGTATCTTGATGCAATTGAAAGAGAGATTTTAAGTTGGTTGCCAACTCTTGTTTATAGGCAGTGGCTTGAGTAGCATTTTGATACAAGAAGAGATATATCCATTTTATGAAGATCATTTTATACCTAGTTGAACAAGTAGAGTTGTCAATCAACTTAAATTCATCTATACCTATCTGCATAATTTATTTTCATCCAATATTTAGTCTCAGAATTCAATTTTATCACAGGCAACATAATTTAATCCTAGGCACAATTAAATCACAACTCACAAGACAACATAATTGAATCCTAGGCACAATTAAGTCACAACTCACAAGGAAGACAACATAATTGAATCCTAGGCACAACAAGGTAGGCGACATAATTTAAATAATTGGTTAAAATCAATTCACAAGCAGTTCAGACAATAGTGACCTCAAAATCAAGCAATTCATCATAGGAAACCAATTCACCTAACTCATAAGTCACAACAAGGAAGGAAACAAAATTTAAACAATTGATCAAAATCAATTCACAAGCAGTTCAGAAAGTAGTGGCCTCAGAATCAAGCAATTCATCATAGGCAACAAATTCATCATAACTTACAAGTTATAGCAAGGCAGACAACATAATTTAAACAATTGATCAAAATCAATTCACAAGCAGTTCAGACAGTAATGACCTCAGAATCAAGCAATTCATCATAGGCAACAAAATCATCATAACTCACAAGTTACAACAAGGTAGGAAATATAATTTAAACAATTGATCAAAATCAATTCACAAGTATTTCATACAGTAGTGGCCTCAGAATTAATTCACAAGCAGTTCATCTTAGGCAATTCATTCATCATAACTCACAAGTCACAACAAGAACTGCATACCATGGATCAAGAACTGCACCAATAGAAACCAATGTATTAGACTCTGACCAATACTTGTCATACTTCAATTTCATTTTATTAACAAGCGCCCGCGGGTGAGGATTATTTGAGATGCTTGGGGGTTTACCAAGTAGAACTTTCATCCTGTAAAGCTCAGCCACTAATAATTGATGTCACAACAGAAAAAACCTCTAAAAACTTGCAAATATCATGAACATCTTCCCAATCATTTGCATCAGGCAAAAAACTGAGAAATGCATCATTTTCCTCGGCATATCTAGGACAAAAAATCTATTTAGTGATATTTCTCCTATAGTATATTTCTCCTACCAAAATAATCTTTCTTCAATCTAGTAATATAGTTATCATTGGCACTAGCATTATCAACGGAAATTGAAACCACCTTATCTCTTATGCTCCAATCATCCATCACCTTAATCAATTCCCTATATAAAACCTCACCAGAGTATGGTGGTGGCACATTCTGAAAAGATAAAACTCTTTTGTGAAGCTGCCATTTTGAATCAATGAAATGACCAATCACATTCATATAACCAATTTTTTGTTCACCAGACTGTTGTACCCCAAAACTTGCCCTCTTTATTTTCTATCTCTAATTGACTTATACTTTGTTAACATGCGCATATATGCATATCATTGGATTTATGCTCATGAGATTAAGGTATCTTGGTCAACATAACAAATCTCCCGTATTTGATCAACGCATGTCAAGTTGCGGAAGATTTGGGTGTTTTCGTTGAATTTTAAGCAGTGCGAATAAGAAACGGTTTTTTCAACTGATCTGAGTTTGGAAATTCATATCTCCTGTTTGGAATGATGTTTTAGATTGATTTTTGAGGTTTTGAAAGCGCCTCAACATTCTCTTCAACTTCCGTGTTTGGACCAAAAGCTAAATCTCGAAGGAATGTCTCCGAATACGCCATCCTTTTGGAAGTTATACAGTGAAAAATACAAAGTTAAAGTGGGTTGAACCGTTATTTCGTGTGCGCTAAAAAATTCATAACTCTCGGATGGAATATCGTATGCGCGCGATTCTGATTGCCGAAATTTTATCTTAATTTCGGTTTTGGAGGCTAAAAGCTGATTCACGAAGGAAGAACCCGTGAATTTTGAGTTTCTGAAGACATGTTTGTGCTAAACCAGAATTCATCTGTATTAATGTTTAATACGGTAAAATTCATATCTCACTCTATTGTTATTATATTGAGCTAGGTCCGGTGGCGGCTGTTCACAAATTTCGTCTTTTATAACTTATTTTCATATGCTAAAAGCAAACGGTATTCCAAAGACCTTTGTTTTTGGTCAAAACCACGCGCAACGCATTGAAAATCCTGAACCGAGAAATATTTTCATCTAAGACAAAACTTCAAAAAATCATCACTAAATCATTGTTTATCCGATTAAGCCCATTCTTTTGGCAACGCGTCAAAATTTTATTCACTTCATTTCCCGTTTAACGGCGGGATCGAGATTTCGTATGGATGATGACATGGCACTTTATGGTTGTGTCAGGCTTACACTTTCAAGTCATTGCACATCCAAGCCCATTCTTTTGGCAACGCGTCAAAATTTTATTCACTTCATTTCCCATTTGACGGCGGGATCAAGATTTCGTATGGATGATGACATGGCACTTTATGGTTGTGTCAGGCTTACACTTTCAAGTCATTCCACAATCCAATTGCACATCCAAGGCCCATGTATATAATCTCAAATTTGATTTTTTGTAAGAGAGAGCTCTCATAATTCAGAAATAAACATAAACACTAAAATATTTTCTCTCAATTCTCGCAAAGATCAAATTTAAGTTCTATAACTTTTTTCATCAAGAACACAACAATTTCATCAAGATTTGAAAGTCAAAGATCAAGAGAAATTCTTCCCCAATCGTTGATCCGTTCGTTGCAATCTCTATACCTAAGTCATCTTTTCACTTCTGTCGGTGATTTTTCTTGAATTAAGCACTTTTGAAATAAGTGATTATTTGAGAAGCACTTTTTTGATCAAGCATGAAACGAACCTAGGTTGAATTTTGAATTGAGAATATAGATCTAAGCCTAGAATTGTGATTTTATTTGATCATCATGTGTAAATCCGAAATCGGATAGTTGAATTAAGAGCTTATTAAATTAAGTCGATTTACTTGAAAGTGCTTAATTATTGAACAAATTGATGAGGTTGTATGAAGTTTAATTGTTGATCTTAATTCATCATGCGAAGATTGAATCTAGACCTTGAATTATGCAAAATCATGTGTTGAATGTGTGAAGATTTTGTATTTGATCAAATGCCCAATCCATGAGCCAAATATCAAAAAACTATTAAAAAGTTATTTTCTGCATGAAGATGACAGGTTACCTGGTTTTGGAACCGGCTACCCCACTTACAGTAGTGTTTCCCAGCTTTTTTGGCTTGGGTAACCGGTTACCCAGTTATGGTAACCGATTACCTCAAGTCAGTAGTTATTTTCCCAAATTTTTGAGTTAGGATAATCGGTTACCCAAATTCTTGTAGTCGGATTCCCAAGCCAAAAATTAGCAACTTCCTTTTTTTATTTTGTTTCTTTTCTCATTGTGTTTTCTCTTTTTTGCCTTAGTTTTTCCTTGTTATTTTTTACATGTGTTGATTGTGCAAGGACTCTGTTGTACCCCAAAATTTTATCTCTCATTTTAAAGACAAGTTATTTCAATAGGTCTCCTCATACTCTGAAGGTTCTCAATTGCTCAAGACTACTCAAGAATTGACCAGACAAGCTCTCCTCCTAAGTAAGTCACCTACAACTAGGGTTTTGTTTTTCTCAAAGGAAATTTGACTTCTAATGCCTCAAGTGGGATTCATGGTATCACATATGTATCAAAGTATCTTCATGCCAAAATTCAAGCCTTGCAGTACAAGTTTGCCCAGTCAGTTAGCCAGATGATTGAAAATCAACTGTATTGGACAAAAAGTTAACTTTGACTAATCTATAGTCAAAATTCAAATTTTTGGTCAAATTCAAGATTTTGA